ACCTTCCTTGGAGGGTCGAATTTAAAGTTGTTTTTATCCACCCCAGTTGCTTTTTTTTTAATGTTTATTTATTTTTGAGAGCGAGGAGAGAGAGAGGGGGAGAGAGAGAGAGAGAGAGAGAGAGAGAGAGAGAGAGAGAGAGAAAACGAGTGGGGGAAGGGCAGAGAGAGAGGGAGACAACAGAATCCGAGGCAGGCTCCAGGCTAAAGCTGTCAGCACCGAGCCTGATGCAGGGCTTGAACTCATGAACCGTGAGATCGTGACCTGAGCCAAAGTCGGAAGCTTAACTGACTGAGCCACCCAGTCGCCCTTTCACCCAAGTTGACTAATGGAAATACCTGAAGAGCTTTAAACATTAAAGGTGCTGGGGTCTCCCCCAGAATAACTGAATCTGAATCTCTGGGGGTGAGGCTCTAATATCTCTCTTCTCTCTCATAAGTTTCCCAGATGAGAGTGATGCACTGTGAATTTTGGGAAAAGGAGGCAAGAAGTGAAGAGAACATTTAATGAAGAGGTTGAAGGTGTAGGGGGATTGGTAATGGGGCAAATTGTAGCTACTGGGGAAATGGAGAATACTGATTGGGGTAGGGTGTATAGGAGATGATAGATTATTAGAGGGGCTTTTTTTTTTCTTTAAAAGGTGGTGGAATGGAGAGAGATGTCAGGATGAGAGACTCTGGAGGGGTTCGCTGGCCCCTGGAATGAGAACTCATGTACACCCAGAGGGTCCCAGGGCAAAACACTTTGCTGTCTATGATGTGGCCTTCATTCTGTGTTCCAGTGGTACATGGGTGATACCCTTAGAAAGTAGTACTCATTTGGGCTTCTGCTCTCTGCAGATACCAACCCAGAGCTGATCAAGCTGAGTCTTATCAACCCAAGATTCAGGTTAGACTGAATGTTAATGTAAACGACCAATGCTCAGCAGAATTTTCTGAAGGAGATATGTTTTAGTGTTCCCGAAAAGAACAAAAGACAAAAAATTCTCATCTACGCTTCTTTCAATACTAAACATTTTCTGAAGACGAAGACTCAAAAATGTTGAGTTTTTTTTTTTTTAATGTTCCCGAATAGTAAATAGCGTAACTATTAAGAACTTAGGTTCTAGAGACACAGGACCTTGGTTCAAACTCTGGCTCTGATACCTGCCAGCTGTATAACCCTGGGTATGTGGTTGAACCTCACTCTCATTTTCCTTATGTAGAGAACAATAATTAAACCATAATCATAAGGCCTACCTAATGTGACTGTGGTAGAGATTAAGTCAATATTCCATAAGTGGTAATCATTAAGTGTACAGACATAAGCCAGGTGCTAGGGAATGTGAGAATGAATAAAATATAGGCTTTGATGTCAAGTATCTCAATTTTAGCTAGAGTAACAAGTACGTAAAGTCTCCAGTGTTGACACGTGCCAAGCTCAGAGTTTGCCCTGGACAGGTCTGTGGGAGCAGGAAGAGAAGGGCATTTAGCTTTGTCTGCAGAGGGAGGACAGGACAAGACTTGCCAAAGAAGAGGAAGCCCAAGAGTGAAGAGTAAGGACTACTGGGAGTTATCCACCCAAAGTGCAGGAGGTAGGGGGAGGAATCATGGTAAGAGATAAGACTTTCCAGGCCTTAGCCTAGCATGAAATCTTGGTAGTAAGCGAAAATCCAGCAGTTTGGGGAGCCTGACATGGGTGTGGGACAGTGGGGGCTATGGCAAGAATAGACGATGGAGAGGGAAGCTGGGGGCAGATCCTGGAGGTCCTTGGGTAGCATGCCAACAAGCATGTACTTTTGCCATCTGGGTAATGGGGAGCCATTTAAGAATCATAAGGGCGGGAATGTGGTCAGATTTGTATATTTCACAGGTTACCCTGGCCACAAAGTAATGAATTACAGGAGGCAAGATTGGAGGCAATAAGACTAGGTGAGAAATGCTAGCACCTTGGACTGAGGTAATGGTGTGTGCGGACGAAAGGAAGATGATGGATTCGAGATGAGTCTAGGAGATAGAATATAACTTGGTGACCAATTCAGATAGAAATACAGTGGGAGTCAAAGAAGCTCCCAAGTTTATGGCTTGGGCAGTTGGGCCAGTGCCAAATTACCTAATAGCCAGAATAAGTAGGTGCTGTGGGCCCAGCAGATTAGGGGCACCCCAAACATGGCCACATATTTATTTTGTACATGTAGTTTTTAGAAAGACCTAACCATCATAGGCATATAAGAACTTTTTGGACTTTCTTACCTTTTTACGCTTTAGTATTTTTACTTGAATTACCTGTGTGTGTGGGGGGGGGGTGGGTGGGTGGGTCATAATCCTTTCATTGCTCAGGACCTCCCAAAGGAGGAGGTATCTGAAGTCTGAATCCTTCTCTGATCTGGGTGGTTAGTGGTGTCATTTCACTGAGAGAACGTGGACACTGGAGGAAGGGCAAGTTTGGGCTTCCTTCCTGCCTTTGTTATGCTTAGCCCTGAGTGAAGGGAATGGCATTATTAGGGTGGTAAGGGACTGGCGATCCTTACCTTCTAGAGTCTTGGTCTTCTAGAGTGACTCCGTTAAGCCAATTCATATAGATCAGCTCAGGTAGAGTGTTTATGTCCAAGTCAACATGGTTCAGACATTCAGTCAATACTAATGGAAAGTAGGGAGAGACTACTGGTAAGAGAGATCATGAATGCAAGTTGATGCAATGATTGAAGACATAGATTAAGCTACAAGTTCTCATCCTGGAGCCCAGGGGAGTTTTGAACCTCTGAAATTATATGCAGAATTGGGTAGATGTGTGCAGTATATTTTATGGGCAGGAACTCCACAGCTTTCTAAAGATTTTTCAAAGTGGTCTTTGACCCCAAGAAAGTCACCAACCACCAGGAGTAGATGAACTATAAAGTGAATAAAACCTCTTTAGAGTTCCTCACTTGCCTGGGGCTCTTCCAAGGCCCTAGGAGGGGCCCTAGGCAGTTTCATATTGTTTTTACTTAAACGGGGCTGTTCTCCTCAAAATGTATAAAGTGTTTGGTCCCACAGTATCTGGATCTACCCCTGCCAACCACAGATTAGGGAATAGTACCTGGGAGTGGATGCCATCTATGAGGAATGAGTTTCAGGAAGGAATTGTTAAAGGCCAAAGACTGCATTACAAAATGCAGAAGGGGAAGCAATGCTAATCAAATAAAGAACAGTCACCGAGGGAGGACAATCAGACCAGGTTGTCAAGGAAATAGAGAGGTAGTCAACTACGTCCAATATGGACGGGACGGCAGGGAAGAGGCAAAACAAGGGAATGATCACAGGAGTATCTAGGGCACCTATGGTGGTTCTGAACAAGGAAACATGGCAGTCAAACAAGGGTGAGTTGGTAGCCATGGTGCAAAAACATGCAGCGAAGTAGGAACACCAACAAAAAACCCTCTACGCTTCACTATTAGGTTACGATAATATTCAATAAAGTAGGCTTGCTGCAAAACTGACATCTGTACTGAAGTTTAGATGGCACATAGGTACTTTTCAAAATGAGTCCTAAATGTGTTCTATGGCCAGGCAGAGGCACTGAGTGACCCTTGTCCCCCCCCCCCCAACCCCCTGCCTCCAGCCTTTCTTTCCTAATCCTGTGTCCTGCTCTTCTTACTACTTGAATTTCCATATTCTTCCCCCCATATCTCTGTCCTCTGGCTGGAGATAGGGAGCAGAGAGAGAGGGTAGAAAGAAAAAAGAAGCCATAAAAATGACATTTGAACACGAAAGGTTTTGAATCTGAAATTTCTCCTGGGTAACCCACAAAACCAGTAATCCATAATATGGTTAATTGAATGTTGTCTGAAATTCAGGCCAAGGAAATATCTATTTGAACCAGAATGTTCTAAATTGGCCACCCTGGGCATTTCTGAGGTTGACTGGTTTCAATTGGGCAAACCATGCTGACTTTCCCATTACTAGGAGGGTGAGTATTATTATTATTATTGTTATTATTATTATTATTATTATTATTTTTGAGTGTGGGATGTACCCTGATCAAAGTCACATTCTCAGATCTGTTTATATGTCTATTAGGGAATCTACTTGATGCCATTTTACATTTCTGCAGCGACTTCCTCCTGGAATCTATTTCAAGATAAACTAATTTCATTACAGTTCCCAACTTGATCTCTCCAGTGGTGATATCTTTAAAGGCTTTTGACATATTAACTGGGGATGTGCTCATTTACAATTGTGTCACTATGAAAAACCTGCTACTTGAGGACAATGATTTTGAGTGGCTAATATGACAGAATATATTAGGGACACGGAAAAAGAGCTACAGACTAGAATGCGTAAACCAAGGCATTGGTTTGAGGTTACTGAGAACTAAATAAAATTAATTCAGCAGAAAGCAGCAATTTGTGTGTTTGTTTTTACTAACAAAGTGCTGGGTAGGACATGATTAAAAACATTTTTAAAGATAAAGATTTGTGACATGATTGATCTGCAATAGTGTTCTCATTGGAAGAAGACCAAGCTTCTATGCTTGGTAATGTAAACGTGTAAATTAAACAAGTTCTAGCCGCTTGGTACTCAGCTATGGTTAACATGGAAATAGTTCATAACACTTTTGTGGATAGCTTCAGCGTTTTCCCCTTCGTCCGTCCGTTCTAACAGTAAGCCTTAGCTTGACTTGAGCATAATGAATTTCTTCTTTAGTAAGTCCTATTTGATCCAACAAAGCCAGTTGAGCACAATCTACCTAGATACCTACTGGTTACATTATTCGACTGGTAAAGGACATAAATCAGTTTGGCCACAAGTTTTGTTTGAATTGGATTTTGGAAATTTGTAAATTATGGGGATGTAACGTTTTTGTCAAACTCTCAGCTACTTCTGCAAATGAAATTGTAATTTCTGGAGTGGAATACTGTGAAAGTTGTGTTGGAATCGATTGTCTTTCACCTTTGTAACTGTTTTCATGAACCTAATTGTACAACTTATGGATGATAAAACTATAGCCCAAATAAATACATGTTAACATTTTGCCTTTAGCCAATAAGAAGAAAGAGAAAGAACGCCCAGAGATCTCTCTTCCTTCAGACTTTGAACATACGATTCATGTGGGGTTTGACGCAGTCACCGGGGAGTTCACTGTAAGTAAGCTCCTTATTTTGTTTTGCAAGCCATGAAAAGTTCCTTTGTGAAAATAGGTTTCAAGAAAGCATTTCCATGTCACAGACATGGACACAGACAGAGACAATCACAGGTGGAACTAGAGAGTGGCAAGAGTACTGGTAAAATTATTTTGTCCATCATAAAAATGTCTGATCGCAGTTAGCCTGTTGAGTCTGCGCTTTATTGTTTGAAGTGAATCAGAGAATCATGGATTCAACTTGACCAGCGAAGACAGCCTATCTGAATAATTCGGGCTTTACATTGGAATCTGGGTTACCCAGATCAGCGAACTAAGCTAACCAAAAATCTCTGTAAAATCAACCTGTTCTCCGCTTTGATCCCAAGAACATAGCTTATCTTTAGGCTTATTAACGGGTGTATTTTATAGACATTCAAAACAACAAACCCCATGTTTCGGGAAGAATATTTATGGATATATCACGTGTGCTATAGTGGTCATGTGCTTTATAGATATACAATCCATAATTAATATCAGTAAGAATTCACCAGAAAGACCATAGCTGTCGATTCAGCCTTTCTTTGGATATATTTTTTTAAGATCTGGCATATTTGTCTTTAGATGGATGAAGGAAAAGATGTGGCTAGAAATATGCCCTCAGGAGGATCAACTACCTTTTTCCATCCTAGTAAGGATCTCAATAAAAATGTACATTCTGAGATAATGAGTAATTTTGAATGCCTTCAGAAAAAAAAAAATCTTCGATGGTATCATCACCACTGATTCTTGGGTTCTTAAACCAGAGATAATTTTAGATATTAAATAATTGAAGTTTCTGTTTTTAAAACTTGATGGTTAGTGAGTAGACTGTCATATGAATAAGTGAACAAAAAAGAGAGGGGGACACATTAACTTGCTTTGGAGAAGCAAACCAAGGTCTCTGAATTGACAGCCAAATTACTTTTTTTTTTTTTCTGGAAGTAAGCAATACGAGAATAAAATCGAAACTGAGTCAACATCTTGGCCTTGTAAAGTGATGTGAGCTGATTATTTCTATGCTCTCAGTAGCAAGCAGAAGAGAACAGAAAGAGGTACTGTCATTGATAAAGTCGAGATACCGGTAGGATTTCACCAATTTCATTACTGGAGTCAGAGACATTATTCAAATGGCTTTGAGTTTGAGTCTGGCCGCTGTTCTTTACTGTATTTGAGGATATTCTCTTAGCTGCACTCCAGAAATATAACCTTACTGACTCCACTGCAACTACCACCATCACCACTAATAATAATAATAATAATTTTTATAAGCTGACTTTTTGACATTCGAAACAGTAAAAGCACTTAAACCATAAATTTTGTCTAATAACTCTTCCCTGTTTTTATTTTAAGAACATTATGTTTCTAGCTCGGACCTTTTTTTGTTTTCTATGTTGCTTTTCTTGTGTTTAAACTGCTCTTAGGTTTTATTGCAGTCATGCCATGTTTTTCTTTTCTCTTCCTTTTTGTGGTCTGATGTGAAAGCTTTCTCCTCTGCTGTTCTCATGTGACATTCTGGTTCCTTTCCAATTTTTTTTTTTTCCGCTCTTTCCAACTCGCTTGACATCTTAAGATACAATCTATCTTTAGCTCCTTCTTTGTTCTTTTGGGGTTCTGAATGGAAATGAAGGAAAGTGAGTCACCATCATCTTGCTGACCACATCTTCACTTTGCTGTCAGTTAGAACCCAAAGAACCAACCAGAGAGGGTGGGGTGGGTGGGTTATGTGATGGGCAGGCTTTCCAGTTGTGAACAACCTGTTCGATGCAATTGAACCAAACCAAAACATCTGCCCCTTGGTCCCCCAAGCCCAATTTAAAATAAAGCATCTGTTTGGATGCAGTCAGTTGTTAGAAGTCCTTTGAAATATACAGATAAGACACTGGCTAAATTTGGGTATCTGATGCACTGTTGGCCTCTTGATGATCTTTGAAAACTTCTTGTCCGCACGTCATATTTAAAGACGCCAAATTCTTCCCTTTTTTACTATCTTCACCGATGGTTTACATTTCCTAACTTGAAAAACTACCATAATGATCAAGAGCTTTTAAAATCATTTTGTTGGTAGCATTTAAAATTGGGTCCTATTTGCCCTGGTACCACTCACTTATTGTGTGTGTGTGTGTGTGTGTGTGTGTGTGTGTGTGTGTGTCTGTGTGTCTGTGCACACGTGTGTGCGTGCAGAGGGGGGAGGGGCATATTACTGAATTTGATCATTGCGGTGGCTTAGGTTGGATTTTGAGCCATCTGTTGAACTGTGTCGTTCAGTTGTCTTACAAGGGCCTGTCATTGTCCTACGGCTAGCTGGCCCATGTAATCTTGTGTACCTGGGTACACACTTGGACCCTGAGATTAAAATTAGGTTGGGAGGTGAGATTTGGGGTACTGAACTATTACAAGTCCTTACCCTTTATATTGCCATTTTTGTCCCAAATACTTTAGAACTCCCCCTTCCAGACCTCTCGACCTGTGACGGTCGCTTCAAGTCAATCAGAGGGAAAAATGGTATGAGTGATATAAATGATCATTTCCTATGATAAGATAAATGCTTGGCCTGTCGTATCATGCTGCCATTCTCCTGGGCTACACGGGACAATCCCCAGCTTGTCGTACATCTGGTCGTTATTGTACACGTGGTGAGGCATTGATATGTGCTCCTGCTTCTGATGCTCATACGTCTAGGCCTCCATTAGCTGTCCTAACTTTTGGGATTTGTACGTCAGTTTGGAGTAATGAGATGGCTTTCTGATTATGTGCCTCTGTGGCAGACATTCAAATTTAAGGGTCAGGTTTCATTGATGAACTACTAGTTTATCTCAACTTACAAAAGACAAAAGAAATTGTGTCAGCAGTGTAGCCATGTGGTAAGTACAGTTGTCTGAAGGATCTTCTGCAATTGGCAGCATGTTTTCCTGCTGTCTAGTGATCTCCAGACATTTATTTATCACAAAAGTTTAGAAGTGCCATGAGAATGTATAATAACTGCAAATATTCTAATAATTACGGTAATGACCATGCCAGTGATGTCTGCTCTAGTGGTTATGTGCAACGCATACCTGGTTTCGTAACACTTAATAACTCCTTTGGCCATTATAGTATTAACCAAATGCTATTAATTGCACTTAGAATCAGAACTGGGATCATGCATGGGCTCCTGAGTTCAAATATTTGGCTTAAGGCTTTAGCATCAAATTGCGTGATTAATGCATGTAAAAGTGTCGTTTTCACTGTGCTTGGAGTAACCCCAAATGCCAGGAATCAAAGACCCACGTCCCGAATCCAACCAGTTGGGTCAAAGCATGTTTCTGTAGCACTGGAGACAATAGCTTTATTTGGACAAAGCTGTTATCTTTTCTCTGGTCTTCTTTTGTGGGGAGTGAGACTTCAGAGCTGTAGCATTAACATGGCAATTACTCATATATGGTTTGAAATGAAATGGTTTCCCTGCCCCTGGTCTAAAGGAACTCAAAGGCCGAGTCTGGCTGTGTGGGAAATCCTTAATCTAGTTTTCGTGACACCGGCCACGACTTTAACTACAAAGTACAGAAGAGTCACATCGATGGGAATGAAGTTGAATCTAGCGTCCCCACGTAGCCACCCTTTCAGTCGTAGCCACACAGACACTTCCCACGCGAAGCTGAAAATGGTGAACCAGAATTGGGAACTGAAATTTGTAAGTTCATCACATGGCCCCTGGCTACCTGTGATCACCCGGTTGTAAATACAACTTACAAATTATTGTCAAAGCTTTTCATGATGCCATCCTTCTTCCCTCCCCCACCCCCGAAGTCATGTTTCCGCCTTTTGGTAATCTCTCCAGTCATTTAATGGTAATTCTTATTATTGCATATTTATGGAGGACGCATCTGGCCAAAAGTGGAATTACGCATCCACTCCGTAGAACATTGTCGTTTTCTCTGCTTTCTTAAATCTGTCCTGCCCCTGATTTAGTTAATGCCTCTCTATTTTCATAACCGCCCCACTTGAGAAGGGATTACCCCCCTCCCCCATCCAGACCCATTGGTTTCATCTCCTCCCACCTTCTCAGTTGTCCCGCATTCTGTTTTAACTTTCTTTTCTTTCTTTATTTACGTCCATTACAGCCAGATCTCTATGGCTCACAGATGTGCCCAGGGAAGCTCCCAGAGGTGCGTCACAGGCCCAAAAGAAGCTTGCATCAAAGTGCTTCTTTGAGATGTCATAGCACTGCAGCAGCAGGTTCATGTGTGTGCAGTAGAGTTGTTGCTTGGCTTATATCACTTTTTTGTTGTCATTCCCAAACTCTGGAGGCCCACGTCACACATTGTTTTGCCGAGACTTCGTAGGACAAAGCCGCACAAATTGGGTCTAGATGCACTTCAGGAATGATGTGTCTGTCTCTCGCTCCAAGTCGCTCTTGGAGGGCGGACGATTACGAAATGGGGACATCCGGAGGCTGAATGTGTAGGAAAGAATGCTAAAATCCTCAAGGCACAACTAACCTTTCCAAGTAATTGGTGCAATTGTCCTTGGTTAGATTTCCAAATACCCCCTCCTCTGTGCCCTAAATGCTTTAGACGATTGCAAATTCTCACAGGGCTTTGCCATGGTTGTCACAGTCCCCAGGTTCTGTGTGGCCAAAGAACAAAGTGGGGCGGAGGGGACGGAGGGAGGAGAGGAGAAAGCTGCAGGGAGAACGCCCAAAGCAGCGCTAATGTTACCGTTTCGCATCTCCGTGGTTATCGCTCCTCCGCTATTCTATTTTTGTCTCCTCTCAGTGCCCCCTGTATTAAAGCCCTTGACTCCCCCTCCCCCAAATTACATTTTGTAATCACAGAGTATAAACTGAACCAAGGGTGAGGCTTTTCTTTTATTCGGAAAGATAACTCCGATTCCAACGTGCCCAGAAAAAGCTTATGTTATTCCAGTCATACAAAATCCATTGATCTGCACTATACTATACGGTGCCCAAATTTAGAGAAGTCTTGCTATGTCTGCCCTGAGTCGCCAGAAAAAATAAGCTAAGCCGTAAACATCATTTCATGGATGAGCAGAATTAATATGGAGGTGATTTTCATGCGCTTTTTTTTTTCTATCACAGTCATACTCCCACCCACCCTTTTTAAGTTGGATCCTAGTTTTACCTATGTGTTTTAATTAGAGAAGAGAATGATTGCATTGTTAAGTTACTAACTTTAAATCGAGAGTGTAACTTCAGTTTCCCAAGTGTAATCCTACAGGTAGCATGGGCTTCTTGGTGAAGAACTTTACTGGAACATGAAAAGGCAGCTTACTGAATGTTCTGAGCTGCCATTCTTTCCCTTTGGTTGTCCACAGGGAATTCCTGAGCAGTGGGCACGGTTACTCCAAACCTCCAACATAACAAAGCTGGAACAGAAGAAGAATCCACAAGCCGTCCTAGACGTTCTCAAATTCTACGATTCCAAAGAAACCGTCAACAACCAGAAATATATGAGCTTTACATCCGGAGGTAAGAGTAGATCGGAGGTATCAAAGAGCGAGGTGACTCTGATCTCAGAGCCTCAGGATTAGAACAGAATGCCTGGAGGGTGTCCGAAGTCAGTTCTGGCTCATTCTTCAAATGACTTCAACATAAGCAAATCGAAATATGGCTTGGGAGTTGAAGCTGATGTTAGGAGATTTTCTTGGGTGTTCGTAGAACTCAAGTAGGGACATTGTTCAGTGAAGAAGACACTTAGTCACTTAGGATCAGGCCCTGTGATGTGCTCGTGAAATAAGAGGTGTATGGACCAGACCGTGGTCTCTCGAAGTTTATTTTATCTTTTAGATTCATTGAATTGTACCATGATGATACAGCACACGTTTCGTGGTTGCCAGGTTATTTTGATCCAACCTCAAAATGAGACCTAAAAAGGGAAATCATGTCTGGCTATTTATATGAAATCGAAATGACCGTATTCCTGCCAAATCTTGACTTCATTTGCTAGCATGTAGACCCAGCCTTTGTTTGAAGCTTTGATGTTCAAGTTTGTACTATACGCAACTGAAAACCATATACCAAACAATATTTTGGCATTTTGAGGAAAATGATCTGGGTTGCCTCCCTAGAACAACTTACCGTGTAAGTTGTGTAACGTCTAAAAAAAAAAAAAAAAAAAAAGAGGGAGAGAGAGAGAGAGAGAGAGAATCCTATCATCAGTGCCCCAGCTGTAAAGCGTCCCTACCTCTCAGCATTGATTTAAATATAGGGCAGGCTTGAAATATCTTCAAGAATGGTGCAAAGACCCACCTGGAAGGGGAGGAGCATCTCATTTGGTCATAACAAATGTCAAAGCCCAAACTTAAGGCATATAGCAATTCACCTGCTCGACGGGGCGATTTTAACGGAGAAGATTGCTTAACTGCTGTTCTCCAGTGGAGAAAACCAAAAAAAGAAAAAAAGCAATCAAGGAGAGCTTTTCATGGTATTTAGTCTTCCACATACAGTGAAATATCTAAGAGATCCTAGTGACACATCAAGCAATGCTTAATGTGAGGAAATCTAGAACGGTCCTCCAGGTTCACTGTAGAACCATAGGCGACCAAGACCAAAAATGCAATCATTCCAGTATTTGTCTGAGCTGAGTGAAACCCACCAGACATTTTTGGGATGCTCTAGTGTGGCAACTAAGGAATAGGGTAGGAGGAGGTAGGGAGAAGAGAAATTGAAGGGAAGGAAGGGAGGGCGGGAGCGAGGAAGGAGAAGGAGAGAGGAGGATAAGGAAGAAGGAGGTGGGGGAGAGATTCTGGATATAGATGTCTAGGTTCATACCAATCAGGAGTAGGTGATCTCAATATTCTTCCATATGGATGAGATACGCTGGAGGCCTTCATTAAGGTCTATAAAATGGTGTAGTAAGGATGCAGGGGTGTGAGCTATTTTAAGAAAAGTGAGGGGTGCCTGGGTGGCTCAGTCACTTAAGCGTCTGACTCTTGGTTTCAGCTCAGGTCATGATCCTGACCTGATCGAGCCCCACATCAGGCTTGTGCTGACAGTGTGGAGCCTACTTGGGATCCTCTCTCTCCCTCTCTCTCTGGCCCTCCCTTGCTCTCTCTCTCTCTCTCTCTCTCAAATAAATTTGATTGATTGATTAATTGATTTTAGAGAGAGGGTGAGTTAGCAGGGGAAGGGCAGAGAAAGAGAGGGAGAGGATGTGAAGCAGGCACTACGCTGACAGCAGAGAACCTGATGTGGGGCCCAAACTCAGAGCCGTCAGATCATGACCTGAACAGAAGTCAGATGCTTAACCGACTGAGCCACCCAGGCATCCCATCAAAATAAATAAATAAACTTTAAAAACAGAAAAGAAAAATCATGTCATTGTCACAGCATGTGTTTAATACCGAATTGGAGAATCTCCTTCTGGTCAAAGGTTAAACCTGCATAGGTTATTATTATTTTTTTTTTTATTAACTGTGGCCTCTAAATGAGGCAGTCTTTATGAAATAAAGGTGACATCTTTATCTTTACTTTTCAGATAAAAGTGCACACGGATACATAGCAGCCCATCCTTCGGTAAGTGAAAAATTGAAAATGGTTTAGAGTCCTCAGTGCTCCTGGCACTCCAGCAGACTACGGTTGCACAGATTCAGCTTAGGCATAGGATATTTTAAAAAACAGGTTTTTAGAGGTATCATTTCGATATATAACGTAAAAGGTATCGTTTCGATGTATAAAATATATAATTATATATATAAATATAAAATAGAGGATTTGTATATAAAATGTACAGAACATAAAATATATAACCCATCTTTAAGTGCACAGTTTGACGACTCCAGGTAAATTTACATACCAGCGCTCCCCTCACCACAATCCAGTTTTAAAATACTTTCATCACCTCTTAAGATCCCTTAGGGCCTGCTTCCTGTTATTCCCCATCCCACCCCCACTGTAGCCCCGGGCAGTCACTAATCTGGTATTACAGATTTGTCTTTGTGGACATTTCGTGTAAATGAAATAATACAGCGTATGACCTTTCGGGATTGGCTTTCTTCACTCAGCATAATGCTCTTAGGATTCATCCAAGTTGTGTGTTATCAGTAGTTTGTTCCTTGTTATTGCCAAGCAGTATTCCATGGTATGGGTGTACCGCTGTTTAACAGTCTACCCTTTGGAGGACCTCTGGCCCGTTTACAGTTTTTGGCTATTCTAAATAAAGCTACTGTGAACATAGGTGTTTAACCTTTAGGTAGATAAATGTTTGTGTTTGTCTTACATATAGAATCTTGCAAGTAATCATAATGATAGGGACTTCTCTTTACTGAACAATTACCAATGTGCCAGGCGCCGGGGATAATAACATTTTTTCTTTATTTATTTTGAGAGTGAGAAAGAGCGTGAGCAGGGGAGGGGCAGAGAGATAGGGAGAGAGAGAGCGATCCCAAGCAGGCTCTGCACTGTCAGCGCAGAGCCCCGAATGAAGGACGAACGCATGAACCGTGAGATCATGACCCGAGTCGAGATCAAGAGTTGGACGCTTAACCGGCTGAGCCACCCAGGCACCCCTGGGATCACACCATTTGACATTCACTTACCCTTTCTTGCAACCAAATTAGGTAAATTGTACCATTGTCTCCGTTTTACAGATGAAGTTCAGAGAGGCGAAGTAACTCATCTCAGGTCATACCCCTATACCTTTTAGTGTCACCTGTTCCAACAAACTGAGGTGCAGTGGCAAAGGTGACTTTGCCCAAAGTCACATAGACAGTTTTATCAGAGAAGTGACTAGAACATAAGTAACCTAGTTCAGAGTTCTTGGAAGTGATATGGTATCTACAACCGTACCCATACGCATTAGACAGAACATTATCTTAGACAAGGCTTCCCTTTGTGTGATTTTATTTTGATTTTTGATAGAAATTATTTCCTGCTTTGTTCGCTTCCTTAGGAGTGAAATAATTAGCAGTGGTGGAAGTTTCCTGTTGGTTCAAAGAGTCATGGGTAATGAACCTTTTATAGAGGACAGATAGATGCTGGCCTCCTTGATATCACCCTGAGCAACACGTATGACAGCAGTAGGTCATTAGTGGTGAAGAGTAAAGGCTATGTAATAGCATGGCAGCTCCTCAAAAATTAAAAATAGAATTACCAGGGGTTCCCGGGTGGCTCAGTCGGTTAAGCGTCCAACTTCGGCTCAGATCATGATCTTGTGGTTCGTTGAGTTCGAGCCCTGCGTCGGGCTCTGTGCTGACAGCTCAGAGCCTGGACCCTGCTTCAGAATCTGTGTCTCCCTCTCTCTGCCCCTCCCTCTCTCCCTCCTTATCTCTCTCTCTCTCAAGAATAAATAAAATATTAAAAAGTACAGAATTACCATAGGATCCAGCAATCCCACTTCTGGATTTATGCCCGAAAGAATTGAAAGCAAGTTTTCAAATGGATTTTTATACACCTATGTTCGCAGCAGCATTATTCACAATATATAAAAGGTAGAAGCCACTCCCGTGTCCATCAGCAGATGATGGATAAATAAATGTGGTATATCCACGCCATGGTATATTATTCAGCCTTAAAAAGGAAGGACATTGTGATACGTGCTACCACGTGGATGAGCCTTGAGGATATTGTGCCAATTGAAATAATCCAGTCATGAAAAGACAAATCCTGTATGTTTCTCCTTATATGAGGTATAGAGTACTCCATAGAAAGGGTTAAATTTTTGCAAGATGGAAAGGGTTCTGGAGATCGGTTGCACGACAGTGTGAATATACTTAATGCTACTGAACTGTACGTTTGAACAGTGGCCACGATGGTAACTTTTATGTTATGCGTATTTTACCACAGTGAAAAAAAAAGAATGAAGGCTCTGAACCTAGGTGTTTTTAGTCTCACTCCTCCACTTACAAGCTGCGCAACTTTGGGAAAGCGGCTTAGCTTTGCTGAGCCCGTCTTTCCTCAGCTTTGACTGGGTATAATAACGTTACCGACCTCCTAAAACTTGTGTGGATACTGAATGTGGTAATGCATATAATATACTTAGCACATGACCTAGCACATACTATATGTTTATTAAGTGTAACCTAGTATTACTATCACTTTTAGATGGCAATACGAGGAAAAACTCACTCTCTCCACGCATGAGGCTCCTATGATGCCATGGTACTTGTGCCGTGCTCAGATTCCCCAAAACGGAGTAGAATGTCATTCTTCCATTGTAACTGGTCATTTCTGCCCCCCTCTCCTCCTCTCCCGTGAGAGATTCCTAGGCCTCACTGAAACAGCATGTGAAGGGAGGTCATCTTAAAGTGAGAAAGACAAAAATGGCAACCTTCCAGGACCAACATGTACCTCACCTCCCTTGGTTTAATTAATATTATTAGCGTTTAATGAATACTAGCTGGGTATTCTGGCAAAGAAATAGTTGGTATCTGTTTTAGGTAGGTCACTTATTTCAGACACTAACCTGCCAGGATGGTCTGTAGGTTGTTTTGTTTTGTTTTATCAACAGTTTAGATATCCTAAAATACTCTCCCTTTCTTTTGAGCTTGCTTCTGTTGGTTTTGTTTGTGGAATTCAAACTAACTCTACATAATGATCAAAATATTCCAACAAATCAGAAACAAAACGGTGTTCTCCCTGTTTGGAGATAAAACAAATGGATATTTATGTTTTCACATATATTTATCAAGTGCCCCTTTACAAGCACTAGGAAATTTGGAGCTCAGTCTGGTAAGGGAAGAGAAGTGTGCACATAAAGAAACACGATACAATACGGACCATATTACATAGCATCAAATATGTCCATTTGCTATGAGAACTCAGAGAAAAGAGTTTGCTCTTCGCTGGGGAGGAAAAAGGAAGCCGGCCCTAGTCTCTAAGAGCTGAAGCTCAGTGCCTGGTACAAAATAGGTACTTGGTACATATTAGTTGAACACTGAGTTGGAAAATGCTTCATATAAAAGGTGGCATTTGAGCTAGGTCTTGAAGGTCAGGTGGGATTTGGATCTGTGAAGATAGCGTGGGGCATTCTAAGCAAAAGAAAAAACATGGGAAAGGGCACAGTAGTCGGGAGGGCACGGGAACAAAAAGGTGTGGGTTTGAATGAAGACTGAGATATAAGAAAGGGAATCATAGGAATTAAGCTTTGAATGTTAAGGTGGAGCCAGATAATAGTGACCTTTACATACTAGTCTAAGAAATCTGACATTTTCTAGTAGACATTGGAAAGCCCTTGGAGTTTTTTGGACCAGAAGAATTAGGCAGTTAAGAGTTATTTGACAGCAAATGTCCAAAATGAATTAAAGGCAGAAGATGAGGCTGGAGGAAGGGAGAGCACTTGGAGGAGCAGCACAGGCATCCAGGCCTTAGGTGGTAATAAGGGCCTGAGATAGTAGCAGTAGGAATGGAGAGGAAGTTCAAATTCTGGACATGTTTAGGTTATTGACTGGATGTTGGAAAATAGGTTAAGGTCAATAGGTTAAGGTCATAGCAGGCTTAAAATGATATGAGGATGGCCAAAAAGACAAGGACACCCTTGTTCAGGAGCTGCAACTTTTGTGAGAAGATGCTGAGTTTCCTGTTGGATAGTTCTGAGTTTGAAGGGCCAGAAGGACTTCCAGGTGGAGACAGTTGATTAAACTACTTAACTAAGGTTGTGTTTCTATTGATTGAATGAACTGGATTAGACCCTTGAGTTCAGATTGGATCCCTTCAGTGGGACTCAGCTGCTTAGGAATGGGGAGTAGAGAGGACCCTGTGCTCTCCTTATGGTTCTAGGAGGAGATTGCACTTGACACTGCTTATGTTTTTTTTTGTTTGTTTGTTTTTCTTTGCATTAGGAACCCTCCCAAGTAGACCTAGCTATCCTATAGGATCTGACTTAATGGGATTGGACTATCTCCTTATAAACGCGGCCTAAATTGATCACCAGTTTTGGCCTCCTTTACTAGCCTGGGTGGGAATTAAAATAGAAGCAGTGCTGTAGTCACTAAATATTTTTAACTAATGACTATATAATTAATATTGAATTCAGCAATACCTCCCATGGTCCTATGACATCTGCTTTACTGCTCACTTGTGGTAGCTTCTTTGATATTAGTATATTAAACACTAAATATTATTCAGGGACCTACTCTTCAATTTAAGGCTACTTTAAAATGTTATATGTTTATTGTACTATTGAGAGTGAAGTAATGCATTTAGAATCCCGTACCGGTGTTCTGAGTGGAAGGTAACAACAGTAATATGAATAGGTCACGATTTGTGTCCAGAGAAGCTGGGTGTGTAGTTGACACAGATTGAGCTTTTGATTTGAAGTCCTGGTTTATTTTGTTCACCTAGATTAGTGGTTCTTTTACTTCAGTGTGTATCAGAATTGCCTGGGGAGTTCGCAAGTCGATCGTGAATGGAACCCTCAAATCTCCCTCTTAAACAAGCAGGAAAAGTGACCAAAGACCACATTTTGCATTATCTAAAGGCTCGAAGGTCCTTACTTCTAATTCCTTTGACCTTTAACAATTAAGCTCAAAGAAAGAAGAGTTTCCTAAGGTAGCTTCTCTAGCTAGTGTATTCTTCAGAGCAGGGTTTATAACTTACAGGCCATATGGATGGGCTTCAGAAGATCTATGAACCCTTGATATTATATGGAAAAGCACATATCTACCTGTCATCATTTTGAGAGATTGGCCAAACACTTCAGAATTCTAAAAGACTCCAGGACCTAGCTCAGGTAAAGAATTACCTCCCCTGCTGCACTGTGTGGCAAAAGAAGTGTATCACAAAAAATTTTTTAAGCTTATCTATTTGAAGGGGGGAGGGGGAGAGAGAGGGAGACAGAATCCCAAGCAGGCTCTGTGCTGTCAGCACAGAGCCCGACACGGGGCTCGAACCCATGAACCTGAGATCGTAACCTGAGCTGAGCTCAAGCGTCAGACGCTTAACCAACTAAGCCACCCAGGGGCCCCACAAAATTTTAATAAGACAAAAATATTCTTTACTTGCTGTTCATCTATCTGTATTTTTTTGGCTTTTTAAAAACTTATTTTTAAGTTTTTATTTAAATTCCAGTTAGTTACCAGTGTAATTACTGTTAGTTTCAGGCATGCAATAGAGTGATTGAACACTCCCGTACAGTACCTGATGCTCATCACAGCAAGTGCACTCCTGAATCCCCATGGCCTATTTCACCCGTCCCTCTACCCTCCTCACCTCTGGTCATCATCTGAAGAGAAACCAGAGTGTCTATATATTTTTTTCAAGTTTAGACAGTCATAGTAATTTTCAGCCTAGGAGGAAGAGCATAGCGACATTATACCTGTGACTCCCAAAAAAGACCACCTGAGAAACCTGTTAATCAAGCGAAGCTGTTTATTAAACTTTAGCCGCAAGTAAGAGCCCCTCCCTTTATAGAGCTTTAGCAGTGTCTTAGACAGGGGCTGTCAGGGGAGAACATTTGTAGGGTTTTAGAGCATGGCTATGTGATTTTAAAGCAGGTCTTATAAGGTTAGGATTGTGCAGTGTTTATGGTTAAATAGCTTTAGATTGGTGAAGCGAGAGTCTTGAAGAGAGTCTTGGTGAGCAAGGTGTTATTATGACTAAGTAAAATACTTCAGTCTTATCTTTCAAGAACAACCATTTCTTGAAGATGTTGTTTTTGCTTGCTCTCAGTATTGTTTAACGTAAGAACAGGAAAATATGCTGTCTCGATGCTGGTTTACCACAGGAAAAGAAAAATAACACTGCCCCGCCCCAGTGTTAATTACACAGGTTGGACAAGGGACCAGTGCCTGGTCCTGGTATTATTTAGCACAGGGGCAGGAAATTATGTTGATTTCAGTTCTCCGTACCAATGCCTGGTGTTCTAGGTGTGTTCTGGGTAGCTAATGTTCCCTGGCCCATCCATCATGCAAAAGACAATGTCCCCTGAAGGACGTACATTCTTCTCAACCAAGCAACCAGCCAATATGACAGCCTAGTGTTTGGTACCAGATAAGCAGAAATACGGGTCTTCTTCCTCCCTTACAAACTTTCAAGAAGATGAAAGACTTTAGGTTTTCCTAATAGTCCCTTAGTCCATCCTTGGAGATGGAGAGTGTTCCCCATATTAAACGGGAATAGAGAGGATGGTAATGAATGTTGAGAAACTGATATTTTGCAGGTGCGTCTTCTTTACTGAAGTAGCGATGGTTGAGATGTGCAAGCCTACATCTTGGTCAGTAGGACTGCTTGGTCTTTGTACCAGTCTGAGAAGCCCAGACCTAGGCCCATTATATTTGCCACAGGGATTATTTTAGATGCTCACAGGTTGTATATACACTCTCTTATGGAGGCCACATGATGCATTGTATCAAATATATTAAAGGGCTCCCATAATCCCATTTAATTTTTTTGCCATACACTTTTTCAAGTGATTTTTTAAAACAGTGCTTGTGACCATTAGTTGATTGCAGGTAGCATTAGAGTCATGGTTAGGCGTAATTTATTGGAAATCATCATAAATACTGAAGAACTGTTACTAAATAAGACACTCTAACCTACAATTTGTTTTTTAATGTAATGCAATTCCTGTAAAATATATACTAAATTTAAGTAACTAAGTTGACATGTAGTTACACTTCATAGACACGTAATGAGACATTAATGACTTTAGATTTTAGAGGTTTTTGTAGCATTTTGGAGCCAGTGATTTATTTCTGACTTCTCATATTTTCCTAGGCCCTCATAAAGGTTACTATCCCTAGGCATGGTTCATATTGCCCGGCAGATAAAATAGCTTCGTTTGCCATATAAAAAGTAGTCAGTTGATAGGCAGGTTCTGCTCCTTCTACCAACAAACGGTAACTAGGTGCATTCTTGATCCCAGCCGGCGTAAGATAGAGCAGAGCTTTCTGAAACAAAGTGATAGCAAAGCAGACACCAGTAACCTAAAGGCAGTTTCTTCCCGTGACCACTGAAGTGCCCTGAAGAGTTAGTCTTTCATGAGAAGAAACTGATTTTTTTTATCTGAAAACTTAATGTCATTAACACATGTTGCTTTCAACGCAGCCACGATACAGTGTAATAGCCTCGCTATTTTGCCTGGAATAAGAACAAATATAGGTGTATAAATAAGAAAACCAGGGGCACCTGGGTGGCTCAGTTGGTTGAGCGTCTGACTTGGGCTCAGGTCATAATCGCACAGGTTCATGAGTTCGAGCCCCACATCAGGCTTTGCGCTGACCGCACGGAGCCTGCTTCGGATTCTCGTCTCCCTCTGAATGTGCCCCTCCTCCAATACCTCTCTCTCTCTCTTTCACTCTCTCTCTTTCTCTCAAAAATAAACAAACATAAAACTTTAAAAAAAAAATAAGAAAACCAATATCAAGTAAGCATCATCAATTTCAGTCTATAAACCACATATCAGAGGGTAAGCAAATATTCTTTCAAGTGCTTATAAATTCTAAGTTGTCTTCCTTTTCACAGTAGATAAATCTTGCTGTCTCCAATCCAATATATGATTACACCTTATAACTTTACCATCGGTTTATACATGATTGTAGAAAATCCATGTTGAATTTTCATCGTAGGCTGAGGTCCTTTGAGGTAATAGTCTATTAGTAGGCTCCCTATCTACCTCAGGAGCTTTGTCCTCAAGAAATGAAAATTCTTTTTAGGATTAGCTTGAGCCAGCATACCCAAAGGCATAAACAAAAAACAAATACACACACAAAACAAAACATAAAAAGACATCTGTAATAGTACTTTCCAACAGAAGTGAATGTTATGAAAGCCATATGTGTAACTTTAAATTTTCTAGTAGCCACTTTGAAAAAAAGTAAAAAGAAATAGGTGAAATTAATTTTAATACTATTTTATTTAACTCAATGTATTCAAGATATTACTATGTCGACCTATAACCAACATAAAGGGAAATATTTTTCATCAAGGAAATATTTTACAATTCTTTCATGTTCCATATTCAACGTCTGGTGTATACTTTATACTTACAACCCATCTCAATTCAGACTAGCCACACTGTGACTGTTCATTAGCCATGGAGAGCTGGTGGCTGCCATCTTGGACAGCACAGACCTATATCATAGTTCAATGATTTTTAAACTTGAGCCTCAACCAGAATCACCTGAAAGGCTTGTTATAACACGTTGTTAGACCCCACTCCCAGATCTATGATTCATTGGTGTGGATAGAGCCCAAGGGTTTGCTTTTCTAACAAGTCCCTTGATGATGCTGATGAGGCTGGCCTGGGGACAACACTTTGAGAACCATGGCTACAGTTCTTTCACAATTGTGCTTTGGAACGTTTTACCCGGCATTAACATGAATGATCAAGAACCGGTCCTAGATACCACAGGTGTTGTTATTTTTGGTGGTGTTATTGCCATTTTTAACATTGCAAATCACCATTTACCTGTTGGTTAAGACTGAATAATTATTTCTGTTGATGAATATCCCTTAGCTCTGCATGCCTGTTACTCTCTGAGTGCTTCTTTCCAGGAGGATGAACAGGGGAGCAACATTTTTGGGCTTGCTTGTACTTAGTGAGTATTTGCAGAGCTGTATTAATACCATATCCATACGCATGCTCTGATCCTCAGGCACAACATAGCCTGTTTCTGGTCGACAAAATATCAATCAACAGGTTGACAAGCTGCCCGGTACAAATTGAAGGCTTTATAGCATTTAAAAAAAATATTCATTGATTTCAAGAGCATTGAACTTTCACATATTAAATGACTAGCCCACTGTTTCTGAGCCCAGTGGAAAATAACAAGATTTTGAAAATTTCATGATGTTAAAAAAATTTTTCTTGTCATGATGTTTCAAACCGTGGCTTGAATTCACCTTCGAATGTGGGCAGAACTGATCACCAAATTGTAGATGGTTCTTCTGTTCAGTTGTAAAAGGTGCAGTTTCTTCCTAGCTCATTTCCCTTTTCTCATTTCTGAAGAAAAACAACGAGGCGTTAATACCTGGTCTTTAAACTTTGTTTTTTGTCACAAGAGTACAAAAACAGCGTCAGAGCCTCCTTTGGCTCCTCCTGTGTCCGAAGAAGAAGACGAAGAAGAGGAAGAAGAAGAAGACGACAATGAGCCCCCGCCGGTTATTGCGCCAAGACCAGAGCATACGAAATCAGTAAGCCACAAATGACTGTTTTCTAAATGATTCAGAAGATGCCCTTTGGAGCAATCGTAAAGTCAGAATCTAGTTAACCAACTAATACCTATTGAGGATCCACTGTGTTCCCAGAACTAGAATACAAGATACAACCTTGGCTGAAGTTGCTATTTGAGGATACAGGATAGTACGTGACAACTAGAGAATGATACTGAACAATGTACAAAGAAGCGCTAAGTTATAAAATTGCTGCAGATGTTAAATTAGAGAAGGAAATCCATGTGAATTAAGTAGGAAGAATTGCCTAAGCAGAGACACTGAGACCAGAATTAGCTCAGGATATGTGAGGACCTCAAAGGACTGGGTCCTGTGAGCTTCCAAGGGCAGCGTGTTTGAAGCAACTTAAAGTTCTTTTTTTAATAATCGATCACTTGTCTTTAAAAACTTATTGGGGGTAGGGGTTGGGATGGGGAGGAGGGGTGAATAGGCAGAGCACAGAGGATTTTTAGCTAGTGACAAAACTCCATCACCATAATGATGGATACATGTCATTATACATTTGTCCACACCTGTAGAATGTATACACTAAGAGTGAACCAGATATAAACTATTGACTTTGGGTGATTATGACATGTCAGTGTAAGTTCATCAGTTGTAACAAATGTCCCACTCTGATGGAGGGGGTGGTGTTGGTGATAAGGGAGGCTGTGACGTTTGTGGGGGGTGGGGGTAGATGGGAAATCTGTACCTTCCGCTCGACTTTGCTGTGAACCAAAATCTGCTTTAAGATTTCATCTTAATCCAAAAAAGAAAACCTCACAGAAACGTTAGCATCTTGACTTCATATTCTTTCCTTGACCTACTGTTTTCATCGTAGAACTTTTTTTCTTGTCTTTAAGATCTACACTCGTTCTGTGCTTGAATCCATTGCTTCACCAGCAGCACCAAATAAAGAGGTCGCACCACCTTCTGCGGAGAATGCCAATTCCAGTACTTTGTATAGAAACACAGATCGGCAAAGGAAAAAATCCAAGATGACAGATGAGGAGATCCTAGAGAAGCTAAGTGAGTTTTTCTTTTTGCCATCATTACTTTCTTCATGGGATGGCTTCTCAAAAAACGTTTAAACTGAAAAACTGATCCTTTAAAAGTTTGGGCCTGTTTGCATAAACTCCAGGCCCCCTGAAGTCAAAAGATGTAAAGTTTGGCACTTGCTGTGTATTCCAGATCACTCCTTCCCCCACACTCCAAATCTGACAGAAGCTAAATATTTTCACTTGAAAAGATCAATTAAGGTGATAACTTGCCATAATGAATCAAACAATAAGCTTTATTTTAAGATGACACTCCCAAAAGGAATAAAATAATCTGGTGACATCTTTTGATCATCGCCCAAGGTCTCCCAACTGATCTGTCATGATAAGTAAGTCAGCCTCAAAGCCCAACACAGTCAATCAAACCAGCAGCCACAATAATACAGCCTCTTCCCTTAATTTAGGCGCATTTCTATGTGGAGAAGGGGGCAGGGCCAGCAAATGCTAGCAACCCTCCCACCCACAGTGTCATTTTTGGGTACCTACTTGTGCATATACACTGACTCCAGTTTGACAAAACAGTCCTCTTTCGGTGAGCTTTCTGGGTCAAGGAGGTCTAAGTAAAATGCATTGTCTGCGGAGAAGAGTCACAGGTCTGTGAAGCACATTCGTTAAGCTCATACTACAAAAACATCTAACAAATTTCTACTTATAGGCAATTGGTGCCCCCAGTGTCACTAACTCCTACTCATCCTTCAAAACCCAACTCAAAAGTTGCCTCCTCAGGAAAGCCTTCTGTGCTTCTCCCAGTCTGAGTTAAGGCCCCTCTTCTTTGCTGCCTTTATGGCAACAAGTCACACCGTACTCGTCCAATCTTTCACTTAGGCTGTGAGCTCCTCAAGGGAAGACACTGTGTCTCCCTTTCCTGTATGTCCAGCTCCTAATAAAGTGCTTAGAACATAAAGGGACTTAACAAATACTTTTTGAGTGAATGAATGAAAAAATGAGCAAAAAGTGTACCTTTACTGAGTTCCTACTTGCCTGTTCCATGCAAGAATTTTTGGAGGGAAGCATAGAAAAGCAATTTCCTGCTATCGAGAAACTTACAATTTGATTTGGACGATAAGATTCGATAATGTGATACAATTAGAGTGTAGGAAGCCTTCTTGTTCATGCAAATTTCCATCTAAAAAGCCTCAGAAAAGAAAGAGAGCAGTGCCAGCTATAGGCCACAGGGAGACTCTGCAGAGAGGGTTGTGGGGCCGTTTTGCCTTTCCAGGAAATACTTGGCAACATGTGGAGACCTGTTTATAGTCACAACACAAGAAGTGCTCTATCTAGTAGATAGAGGCGAAGGAGGCTTCCAAAATCTCTACAATGCTAAGGACAAGCCCCCCTCCTTGCCCCTCTGCAACAAAGAATTATTCAGCCCAGAAGGTCAGCAGTGTTGAAGTTGAGACATTCTGAGCTAGAGGTGTTTGGAAAGGCAGAGTTTCGGGTTGCAGCTGGCACTGAGCATTTGGAGCTGGAATCACTCGGCTTCAGCCAACTGACTTTACTATACGTGATTAAATATGCCTGTAGTGCTAATACCTACTATTTGCCATACTAACAATAGTAATAACTCCCATTTATGGAGCAGTCTCTGTGCTGGCCACTTTACATACATCAGAACGTTTACTTTTCTTAATAAGCCCTTGTGGTAGATTTCAACATCCTTATTTTACAGATCAGTGAGAGTCAGCCTCAAAAAGAGGCTAAAGCGACCAAGTCACCAAACTAATGAGTGGCAGAGCCAGAGTCTGAACTCAAATCTGTTTACCTTCAAAGGTTACAACTCGTTCTGTTACCCACTTTGCTGCTGTGCATCCCTACTGTCTGTATATGTAAAAGGGAAGGAAAAAGAAATAATTGCCTGGGTAATTTCAGTTCAGTTATTCAGACTGTTAACCTCAACTCCCCCCCCCACCCCATTTTGTACACAGAGACATGACCTGTGAGATTTGATCAGACTTTTAAAATCTAACAGCATCGCTTTAGTAAAAATGACTGTTACCGGCATTTGTTTCAAATCTTAATTGATTTATTATAATTAAAATGCATTTTTGGTTTTTTTTACATTCAGTGACAGAGAAACAAGCATTCTTCTCTTGGGCCAAAATCCTGCAGTATTTGCACACTGCAATGGCCCCTGAGCTCGGGCCTTCCTTTTTTTTTTTTTTTTTTTTTTAATTTTGTAATGTTTATTTATTTTTGAGAGAGAGACAGAGTGCGAGCAGGGAGGGACAGAGAGAGAGGGAGACACAGAATCTGAAGCAGGCTCCAGGCTCCGAGCCGTCAGCACAGAACCCGATGCGGGGCTCAAACCCACCAACCACGAAATCACGACCTGAGCTGAAGTCAGACGCTTAACTGACCGAACCACCCAGGTGCCCCTGGTCTTTTCCATTGGTCGTTTATTCTGCCCTGCACTGAGCAACGTGATGAAGAGGGGAAGACTACATTTGATTAAGAATTAAGTGTTTTCTCCTCTGTTGGAGAATGCTCGGGCCTCGAGAGACTCGTTTTCTCTTGAGCCACTGGACCACCGATGACTGCCGGCCCTACCTTGTGCTTCCAGATATTGGCTGGGAGAACCTGTAGAAAAATGGCGGGGGGGAGGGTACTTTTCACGGAGTGGGTCCAGGCTGAGCTATTCTGCAAAGTCTGCAAAGTGGGGTCTTTCTTGCTTCTGTTGCACCATTGCCCTCTGTGTACCCCCTCTCTGCCATGTGCTTGCTGTATGACTTTAGACGATTTATTGAACCCCTCCAAGCCTCAGTTTCTTATCTGTCAAAAACCATAACTACATTTCAGGACTGTGTCTATCAGATGAATTTTATGTAGCTCAACTATGACTAAGAGGAAAATATTGGAGCCAGAAATGACCAGCCCATTGCTTGTGTTACTTTGGGCAAGTTATTTAACTTTCCTTGACCTCTTATTCCTCTCCTCACAACCCCCCCCCTCCCGCCAAAAATAGGGGTTGTAATAAAAAATAGCGTTATAATAATTAAATGAGAATAATGCATGTAAAAACCTCAGCAACAGTACCTGGTACACAGTAGGAGCTCAATAAATGGCAATTACTATTTTATTACATGAGTATAAAGCCTTGATAAGACAATAGGACAGGCTTTGGAATGAATCATAAGGAAGTCTAAGTTCTAGGCCCACACTCGCTGTGTGGCTTCAGGCAAATCACTCAACCCCTCTGAATTTTAGTTTCTTCATTTGAAAAATGGAGGTACGGGCGCCTGGGTGGCTCAGGTGGTTGGGCATCCAACTCTTGATTTTGGCTCAGATCATGATCCAGGATCATGGGATCTATCAAGCCCCACATCAGTCTCCACGCTGAGCATGGACCCTGCTTAAGATTCTCTCTCTCCCCCCTCGGCCCCTCTCCGCCACTCACATGCTCTCTCTCACTCTCTAAAATGAAAAAAAAAATATCTACGATTTCTAAAAAGAAAAATGGCAGCAATAATAGTACGAATGTGACAGGGATTTTGTGAGGACTAAACAAGGTAAAGTATGTACGACGCCAAGCACAAGAAAGAGTAGGATATAACTCTGATGTTTTTTGCAAAATGAGAGCAACCGGATTTTGTGACACGAAAAATTGGAGCGTGAGGTCTTCCAGCGGGACAGAATGTTTGAAACCAGAAATAATCCAAGACGTGTGGTCCCTATGCAGCAGTCACTGGGGGACCTTGGGATCAGGCCCCTGTTGGAGCTTCGGGAAGGAGTAAAGGACCCTGTGCTGAGAAGCCAAGGAGAGGAGGAAGGCAGACAGAGCGCTGGAGGAATAACCCACAGCCCATCCCAGAGCAGACCCCGCCATAAGCACGGGGAAGTAGGGAGAGCAGGCTCAGGGATCCAGTGACTGTGAGGTGGGCAGCACAGACCACAGAGCCGCCCAGCTATTCCTCTTCGGCGCAGATGCTGATTGTGGGGGCCAGACCATGGGATCATTAGTAGCTGAAACAAACAGATCAACTTTCAGTTTTACACAGACAGATAGCCTGGGTCTGGCTTGTTCGTTGTGGTCTGTCTGAATCTGTTGGAAACTAAAGAAACCCCTACATGTTAGAAGTTCCAAAAGGCGCTGTCAGCGAAAATGTGCAACGCAGGAAATTTGTCTCGGGCCCCATAAGTCACCTCCGCTTCTTGTCCCTCCCCTTCTCCCGCACCGCCCGCCCAAGACTTTTCTATCCCCTCAGAAAGGACTAATAGTAATTTCGAGAATTCTTTTGCTTTTTTCTCAGGAATCAAAACCTTCGGTCTGTAAGGGGCTAATAATCTTTTCATGGTTGGAGTTCAACTTAGCTTAATATGTAGGAAAATACATTGATCGGCTTTCCTGCCACTGAAACCACATCACGGAACCGATTTTCAAATACTACTATTTAGCGATTTCTTAAATCCTTATACTTTACAATGAATAGTTTGTGTCTTATTTAAGAATTTGCCCTGGCAGGAAATTGTTCTGGTCTTGCTCTCAGGGGTTTTGTTTTTTTTTTTTCCTCCTTTTTGATTTTGAGTAGCTGATTTTCGTCACTTTTCCCCCCCTATTGTGTCACAGTGGGCTTTTTCCCCTTTCCTTAGTGTAATGTATAAAAAAGCAAATTACAGTGGCTCTGATGAAAGAGGTCACTTGAAAAGCTTGTGTTGTGACTCGGAATCGTAAACAAGACCTCCTGTGTACTTGCCTGACATCAGTAGATGGCAGCACGCGCTCTCCTGTGAATGGTAATGGGTGTGGAGAAGCCATTTTATCTGAATAGCAGTTCAGAAGCAGGAGCTCATCAAAATGGTTGTCTTTTGGTAAATCCTCATGAAAGGATTTATTTCCAGTTTGTTTTTTTTTTTACTCTGCATACCAAGGAAATAAAGGTTGAGTAATTTACTACCATAAAACCTCATTAACCAAACCCTGCCAATTGAAATTGGTCATAATTCAGAAAGCGGCTTGGGCTGAAGCTTATTTGCTTTTTGTTCAGTCTATGGAAAAGAGTTTGCTCAGCAACTTAATAGTATAACTTTTTTAGAAGACTATAAACTCCTAAATAAAATGATGGTTTCAAGTGATTTTGAAATTATCATTTCATTCAAAAGAAAAAAAAAAAAAAAGCAAACGTCCAGGCCCTTATCCATTAATTGCTGACTTGAATAAGGATAATTAGTTCTCAATGATGTAGAGATCTGTAAAACAATTTGAAATGTGAAGTGGCGATTCAGAAACTGTTAAATTGGTGGCATTCTATAGCAATAAATCAAGTAAAATACCTTCTCCAGCCCCTGTCTTAAAATATGGGGCAATTTCAAAAGGAAATTCCCAACTTTATTTGAGTTTACTTCAACAGACATCTATTGAGCAACTAGTGTATTTCTCACACAACATTATATAAGGAGGTACTGAGGGTAGAGAAATGAATGAGCGATGACTCTTGTTCTTAAGATACAGTCTATAAGGGGACATCAGATACATAGAGATGGATACGTGGTGTATTAGGTGTAGAGAAACAGACTAAGTGCAAAAAGAGAGACCGAAAGAGAGAGAGAAGGTACAGTACTAGAGAGAAGCGGAATTATTAATGTTATTCAAAACAAGTCAGGGAAGGCTTCCTAGAAGAGGCGCCATCAAAGCTGAATTGAAGCATGAAAATTGGAACTTGAAATTTAAGAACATTCCAGGCAGGAGGCTAGCATGTGTAGAAGGTATGAAGGCACATGCCTGGGAATGCTAACTTATTCAATGTCACTTGAATATAGAATTAGTAGGTGGGCGGTAGGATTGCAGTCTTAAGAGAGGAAGCTCAACTGGAAAGCAGGAGCATGAGTTGCAATTTGGCATGGTCAAAACATGAGGTTCTAGTGGTGAAGTGGGGAAGAGGAGACTGGAAAATGAAGCAAGAATCAGATATGAAGAGCCTTGTACCCCATACCAAGGAGTTTGAGGTTTACCCTGGAGGTGTCAGGGGAGTGTCTAGGACCCATGAACCAGGGAATCACATGATCGGTTTTGCATTTAGAGCCTCCTGCCAGAGAGAGGTGTGGAGCCTGGACTGGAGTATGAAGAGGCTGACGGTTGGGAGTACATTTAGGAGGCTGTTGCCATAGCCTGCCCAACCAGAACAGTAGTAATGAGGAGGGTCCACATTGCATAGGTATCTTCTTTTGAGAGAGAGAGAGAGATCGAGAGCAGGGGAGGGACGGAGAAGGAGTTATATAGAGGATCCCAAGCAGGCTCCACACCATTAGCAAGGAGCCCGGCACTGGGCTCGATCTCACGAAATGTGAGATCATGATCTGAGCCAAAACCAAGAGCTGGACGCTTAACCTACTGAGCCACCCAGGTGCCACTGAAAAGGTATCTAGAAGGTAAACAGACATAGTCTCAAGACTCAGTGGACAACTGCATTGGGGGAGTGGAGGTGAGGGATGAGTCAGAGATGACTTCCGGGTTTCTGACTCAGGCTACTGAGTAGACAGATGGTAGTACCACGGACTGAGATGAGAAATGCAAGAGAAAAAGAATTAGAACAGCTCACACACTGTCTATGTCTTATTTAACTTCACTGAAACATGGAGCTCTATTATAAAAAACAAACCTCCACCACCACCACCACCACCACCAATAAACCTAACAGCTTGATGAGCAGTCCATGGCTGAAACTTTTTTTTTTCAAGGTATACCATCTACTGGTAGGTCTGAATTTACATGGGGTGTTGTTTGTAGCACACAGTTTAGCACTTGAACGCACACTTTCTTGTTCTCATTAATTTAGTCAACAAATATCTGTTCAGTGGTGGCCATTGATCTAGGCACTGAAGTTACAGGGATGAAAAGACAAAGGTTCCTGCCCTCAAGAAGGAACATGGAAGTCTCATTAGAAGGATCAGAGGAGAATTCACAAAATAGGATGGCTTTGAAATAATGTTTAAATAATAAATAGGAATTCATGGGTTCGCTAGGAAAGGGAAAGGGGAAGCATCTGCAGAGACCTAAGCCTTGGATAGTGATACCATTACTAGGGTGTAAAGTAGGAGGGATGGAGAGTGGAATTCTATGTGGTCAGTCTGGTTAGATAGGAGTTAGATGGTGTTAGACGGTAAAGAGCCCTCTGTGCCAGACTGAGATTTGAATTTGATTATGTAGCAAGGAGAAACTTTTGAGGAATTATAAGTAAGAGTGAAATCATTCTGAAGTAGGGTGACCATACATCTCAGTCTATCCAGGACAAACTTAGTTAGTGAATTATATGGTCACCCTGTTCCAAAAGCATTGCGGAAGATAATTAGAGAAGGTAGCATGGAAGATAATTAGAGAAGGTAGCATTTCGAAGTAGGTAATGACTAGTGCAATTGTTTGGGCAAGAGATGTTAAGCGCCTGAACAGTGGCAGTGGCCATGGGCGTGAAGAGGAAGGAATGAATAAGAGTAACAATTAGGAGGTAGAGTCTATAGATCTTCTCTTGATTAGTTCATGGTGTAAATCTTATCTTACTGACTCTACACTTCTTTGGAACAGGGGCCATATTAGTAAGATATAATTCAAAGGTAACAATAATGATATGTTTGCTTAAAAGAAAAAAAAAAAAAACGAAGGGAGAGCCAGAGGCATGCAAATAAATTATTCCCTTCAAGGTAGTCTGCTTGAGAAGCTGAACCCATATTCCCACGGTGCTGCTATGGCCCAGAATTTTTCTGCACCCATTTGAACACCATTTGAAGAATCAGTGGTACTTCCTTCGGATTTATTCCGAGTGGTGGCAAATATTCATCCTCTGAGTACTAAATTTGATATTTTGAAATAACAAAACCAATATTTTCTCCCAGAGTCAAAACATGATAAATTAATGGTTTTTTTTTTTTTTCCTGGGTGGTTTATAACCTTCCTCTACAGTGTTTGGAACAATCCGTAGAAACACAAGGTAGATTGATGGTTGCCTGGGGATGGGTTGGGAAACCAGGGCAGGGGGATGAAGAGTGCTAACAGGTACAAGGTTCCATTTTGGGGATGACCAGAATGTTCTAAAATTAGATCCTGGTGAAATTTAATAAATTTGTCCAACTCAAAAAATTTACTGAAAACCATTGAATGGCACACTTAACTTTTTCCTGTTTTAAAAAAATGTTTTACACTGTTTTTGCTGCATCCCACATAATTTGGTAGGTTGTGTTTAATTTTAATTTGGTTCAAACTATTTTTACATTTCTCTTGAGGTATCTCCCTTCACACAAGTCTTATTTAAATACCTTGGGATTCTCTAGTCATCTTTCTGTTCACTGAACTTTTATTTGCATCCATTATGATTAAAAAAGGCATTTTGTATGATTTCAATCTTTTAAAATGCAGTAAGACTTGTTGCCTAACATACGATCTATCCTGGAGAATGTTCCATGTGCACTTGAGAAGAATGTGTACTCTGCCATTGTTGGGTGAAGTGTTCTGTATCCGTATGAGCTCCAGTCAATCTATAGTGTTGTTCACTATTTCCTCGTTGATCTTCTCTCTGGTTATTCAATCCATTATGGAAAGTGAGCTATTAATTAAAGTCGCTGACCAGCATCGTGTTGCTGTCGATACCCCCTTTCGTTGCTGTCAGTGTTTGCTTCGTATGTTTGGGAGCACTGGTGAAATCATATTCGAGTAAAGTTGTTGCAAAATGTCTGGAGTGCAAGTAGGGCCCTGGGTTTGGGAATGTAGATTTTCCAAAACCATGAGTCTCATTACTTTGTGATTAGACTTTGTTCTTTATGAGCCCATCACCCTTATCACAGTACTGGGAACATAATAATTGCTCAATAGAGATTTGTCCAGAAGAACTGGATGTGATGTAGCTCTCAATTTTACTCCAGTTCAGAGAAGATTGTGATTCTATTAAATAGTGCACACAAATCCTTAGATTTTTTTATCTCCTAGTCTACCATCTCCTTTTATGGGAACTTTTTATAAATGTTGAGTTGTGTCCAGTCCTTTTTGTTTCCCAAACATCATCATTTTTGAATATAAAAGCAGCATGGGTTATTACAACTACTTTAATTAATGTATTACTGTGTATTACTTTAATAAAATGTATTATTACCCATGTAAATTACAGAAATTACATGGGAATATCACTCCAATGTTTTGTCATGGACTCGGGCATTGTAATTTTCAGTATGAAATGAAGGGAGATAAACCAATTTAAATCTTTCTCTCTCTCTTCCTCTCTCCCCCCACCCCAAACACAGGAAGCATTGTGAGTGTTGGTGACCCAAAGAAAAAATACACAAGATTTGAAAAAATAGGTCAAGGGTAAGTGATTGTTATTTGAAATATCAAAAGATAAGCACCAGAGACATACCTTCGCATTCAATAGCAGCCTAGCTTATATTCCTGTTCTGCATTCTCAATATTGGGCTTTCTAGCTGACAGACTGACTGTTAATTAACCTAAGAATACACCCTGCTGGAATCCGCAGGAATATTGGGCCAACAATGAAGTGTTTAGGGACATTTGAATCCCATATGGTTAGAAGATTCAAACTGATTTCTCTGGAAAAGTAGTAGAGGCATAGAAACCCTCTAACTTGTGTGAAAACCCCCTTCCTGCCTGTCCCCCCCTACATCTGTATGGATGTTATGCTTAAGATCCTGTTTCATTGTCCAATTGTTAAGGGCCAGAGTGGAGGTAGGGAAGGTCCTTACTGAGTAGTCCAGAGGCAGGCAGAGTTGACTGCTCAAGTAAGAAGGAAACAGATTAATCATTCCTAAATGAGATGGAGTACATCATTTTCACTTAGTATGCTTGTTAAGAATAAAGATCTCTAGGCCCTACCGCCAGAGATTTGATTCAGAAGTCTGGAGTGGGACCCAAGAATCTGAACTTTGGGGAAGTTCCTCAGGAAATCCTGATCATCAGCTAGACAAGGGGACCCACGGGGCCGAATCATTCACCAGAGCTAAAGGTAGGAGTCATCGGTTCTATAAACTGACTCTAACTAGGCATGTTTCTCAGACCTCAATGTGAAACTGATCATGAGGGCCCGAGTAGGCTACAAATGTGTGCAACGGGGAAACGTTTTGTTTAAAGACAAATGAAGTGCTCTTAAGACAGGTCCTTAAATGGGGGATGGGACAAGATATTTAGATGCATCAACTACTCTACGCCGCCAGGAGCCCAGATGGTACATCTCCAGAGGTCTCCTGGCTAAGAAGGAAGGGATACTGCTAATGTGCCCACAAAATTATGCTAGCCCTGCAGCCAGCGGAGTCTCTTTTCTTCACGTACTTTGCTGCTTTTCCTTGGACTCTTACGTTCAGAAAATTATATATTGTACAGAAGCTTGACGAATTTTCACGATTTTTATCCTTTATTTCTTTTTTTTCCTCCTAGCTTCTGTACTAAAGTTTCTTTTGAAATTGCCAACTTATCTCAGGAAATAAGGGAAAGCGTTCGTTAGATATTTTGGCTAGGAGGTAAGAAGGGCACTTGTGGGGAATGTGCCTGATGGGAATCAAGGTAAGAAAACCATAAGAGGGAGACAGAAACTCAGGGAAAAATATATGGCCATGGTTGTTCTTCCAGTGGAAACCATAACACGGCTGTATTCGAAGTTTCTAGAGGCCAAAATACATACCTATGTGTGCTTTTGCTTCTTTGTCATTTGATATCACTGGTATTCTCTGTTGCTCATTAAAAAAGGACTTTTGTGGACTCTAGCGAAGCCCGTCACCTGTCCAGTCAAATAGTATTTCTGCCCCTCACTCTAGGACAGTGCTGTCCGAATAGAACTTTCTACGATGATGGAGATGTTCTATATTTGTGCTGTCCTATACAGTAGCGGTAGCATGTATGGCTGTGGAGCACTTGTAATGGGTCTAAGGCAAATAAGAAACTATATTAATTTAATTTAATTTCTTTGTTTATTACTTGTTCATTGAGCGCCAACTATGTGCCAGGTACTTTTCTAAGCACTAGAGAAACAGAGCTAGGTAATGATGTGAGCCCTCAAGGAACTTACAGTCTATAGCTGTAAATGCCTAACAGAGGGTTACATAGGGTGCAAGGAAGAAGACATTAAGACAAGTCTACTCACCTCACCGAAGTGCAGGGCAGGGCTGGCTTCTATAGCCATTATTTCCTACCTGGAGAGAGAGGCGGGCAGAGAGGGAGGGAGACCCAGAATCCGAAGCGGGCTCCAGGCTCTGAGCTGTCAGCACAGAGCCCGATGCGAGCTTGAACCCACCAATCGTGACATCGTGACATGAGCCGAAGTTGGACACTTAACTGACTAAGCACCCAGGTGCCCCAAAAGTTGCCTTTTAGATTTTATTATAATCCGGTTGGGGTTTTGGTGGAGCTAACAATAGGAAGGGATACACAATCCACAGAGAAGCAGCATTTCTGATCTTTGCTGTTCAGTATGGTAAGCATGTGACTGTGGAGCATTTGAAATGTGGCTAGTCCAAACTGAGATATGCTGCAAGTACGAAATACGTGTTCATTTCAAAAACTTAGCATGAAAAAAGGGTGCAAAATATCTCAGTAATAAATTACATTTTGGTTGCCTGTTGAGATGGTATTTTACATGCCTTGTGTTAAGTACGGTGTATTCTTAAAATTAATTTTATCTTTGAAACTTTTTAGAATATAGCTCCCCCCATATTTAAAATACGGCTCACATTATATTTCTAACGGGCAGCTCTGCTCTAGTTGCAGATTTAAATAGGAGCTATTTGTTTATTTATTCAAAAATCAGGGTTGGTTTTTTTTTTTTTAGCTGTCTTTTGGGGAGTGGGAAGTGGAAGATGTTATAATTCTGTTTTTCTTGCTCTTTCCCACTGAGACCCAACTGAGCCAAAAAAAAAAAAAAAAGCATTGAATTTAAAAAAGAAAAAAGTAGGAGATGGTTTCGAATATCTCCCAGATACCAGGTAATGAAGCAAGACTGATTTCGCCAAGAACAAACGTGAGGCTGCCAAGGAACTTTGCATACTCCAAAGACATTTCCCCTCCTAGTTATTTATGCTGCTGACCTCTGAAGGTGCAAAAGGAAAGTTCTGTATTTCTGCCTAACTTTGTAAATCCTCTGTAATCCAAAGTGAAAAGTCAAATCCCGCTTGCCACCGCGGAAAGGTCTGTTTTAAATTCCCAGCCAGTTCATCATTTTAAAGAATGTCGAACCCAGTAGATTGTTCACTCATATGCCCAATTAAACTTTTAAATACATCCTTAGAGGGTAGGAGGTCATTTTATTCCTCCTTTTGTCTCCTTGGGCGTCTATCACAGTGTTTTTGTACTTTAGTAGCCCCCCTCAAAAAGAAGAAAAGAGGAAACCATTTTGTACAATTTTGGTCAACGGCAAGAGTTTCCTTGGCCAACGTCAAAGACGTACAGAGCTTCTCCCGTCTGCCTCCCCCATCTCTCTGGATCTGTTTTTGCCTCAATAAATATTTGTGGAACAAACAAGGAAATGTTTGTTCTTTTTAGCTCTCCTTTTCCTCCGTCCTCTGTGCTTTCATATGTCCATATATGTCCATCTTGTTCTTTCGGTCCTCTGTCTCTCCCTCTCTCTGTCTCCATGTGTCTCTACCTCTTTTTTCTTGTGATAACTCGTTCTGATTCCTTATTCTTTGGGTTTTTGTGTGTGTTGCGCGTCTGCCTTTTTCGTTCATGTTGGCTTCATCTTCCGCTGCCCATTTTCCAAACCCAAATGGTAGTAATATAAAATCAAGATGTGTTTCTAAATGGCTTTTAAGATAGAAGTAACTTACGATAGAAATAACCAGAATCTATTCATTTGCTGTGATTTCAGCTTGTATTTAATTGACTAATTTTGGTTTTTCATTTTTAGTAGATTTGTGTTCTCCGTTCTTCGTTTTTCAAGTGAATGAGCAAAATATGGATTTATTTCTCACTAGACCAAAAAAAGAAAACCACTTAAATTAATTTTCCTTTTACTTAAATTGCTCTCAATGGATTTTTTTTTTTCCCATGAATGATTGGCCTGAGTTAGACAAATGCATCTCTGCTCTCAGTATATAGGGTTTTTATTTTCTTTTCATTAAGCCTGGTTTTTTTTTTTTTTTTAACTTGTTTTTGCTTTACCTGTTATAACGGTGAAATTCAAACCTGTGTCAGGAATCATTTGGTACTAGGAATAATCAGCCCCAGTATTCCAGTTTCAGTCAGCTCCAGGGAACACAGCAGCTTACCCCTGGGAGCCGGATTTGAGAAGAACCTCTCCATTAATCACCCTCATCTACTTGGAAAACTGAATTTTTCCAGTATGGGCTTCTGCCATTATTTCACCAGGTTTCTGTGAAGGCTAAAAATGACATTATTTCACCAGGTTTCTGTGAAAAGTGTTCTGTCATTGGCCACCAAATCTGGGTGTTTTGAGCAGATGTATGTGAAGTGTAGAAAAAGAAAAGAAAGGAAAGACAAGAGGCCGGGCACCTTCCAAATTACCATTAACAGCATGAGTCTGTCAGAAATCTATCCGGTGAAGACTGCAGAATCTTCACTCTGTGGGATAGTTAATTAAAAGAACTTGTTTAGCAAAGGGGGTGGAGCGAGACAAGAAAATCAAATATTTAGTTTCAGTCAACAGCTATCACTGGCGAGGCTGTGGAATTCTCGAAGAGGCAGCAGCCGTGTCCCTACACAGGGCTGAATTTAGTAACACCAACAACTGTCCTCACAGGTTCCTCATTAACGTATTTGAATTTGTTTTTATGGCCTTTTCCTCAACGAGAGTGCACTGAGAGGCAGACCCCCTTTCTCTCTCGGTTTCACGTTTGCTCTCTCTTCACTGTAGTAGACACACATTTTTGAGGACACAACTCAGAGGCGGTTTGGGTCCAGTTTAACACATGACCTTTCCAATTCAGTGAATTTTTCCCGAGTGCGGACTACACATGACGCAAGGAACAGAACACAGTAGTTGAGACCCGGGTTCTGAGAGTCACGGTGACCTCTGTGTTCACCGCCTTTCTGAACATCTGACGGGGCAAAAAGGAGAGTTGGATCAAGGAATGAGCAGGGACCCCCTCACCTCCCTCCCAAACGTGTGTACTTTTCGCCCACAATTTTATCCACATGTTTTTCTTCACCGCCCTCTCCCCCACAGACCTCTCCCTGGCTGCCTTGGCCCTCACTGATGTTTTCTGTCTTCAGGCCTGAATCTTACAGCATACATGTATACAACACTCATATCTGAGCTTGCCTCGCCACGTAAAATCGCTTGAAACTGGGAAAACCACGGAGGAGCGAAGGGATGGTTTGGGGAAACCTTGAAGAAAAACAAAGAG